AAGCAGATACGAATCTCAATGCTTCCCCAGGCCCGAGAGCTAAGAGGGATTTTCCTGAACGTCGGGCACATGGTATGAACTTGGCCTCCAAAGAGAACGCACAGACAGGCACAGGCCCTGCGAAGGCACTGTTCTTCCTGTTTGCTGGGGCGCTGTTCCTTGCTGTGACGACAGTGTCTGTGAGAGGGTCGTTTCCAGGAGGGAGATTTGTCTTTCACGATTGCTTGCCTGCACGCGGCTTTGATTTAGCCCTCGTGCAACATCTGTTCTCTGGATTTCTAATACTGCTAAATCCACCAATACTGGTTGGAAAATATATTAAGAATGGTAAATAACATCCACTTGTCTTACCCGTACCTAAGGGTCTTTAAAAGCTTTTGCTCATTTAACAGTGGACGCTGGTGGTGGACTGGGTGGCTGGTGCCGGGTGGCTGGTGACAGGTGCTTCGGAGGAGCACATCTGATTGTGGTGGGGGTGGGGAGGGAGACTACCACTACTGCAGTTAAAAATAAATATTTTAAAATGTGATGAAAGTAAAGTGGGAAAAAAATTGAAAATGAAAAGTCTGCTCCCTGTCACCTCCCCAAAGGCCTGCAAGGTGAGAGGAATTCTGTGGCCAGCGAGTGTCTGCAAGGGCCCTGTGTGCTGGATGCTTCCAGACTCCGGGCTGGACACTGGACGGGGGTTGCTTTATTTAGTGGCACTTTCACAGAAGGCATATGTAGACAGCGTTAGCGCTCACGCTCGCTATGGAAACGGAGGCCCACAGCACTGACAGTTTGTACAAGGAAATATCTAGTAAGTGAGCAAGTTGCAGTCTGAATTCAGCTCCCCTGATCCCCCAGGGCAGGGCTCCTGCTACCCGCTGAGAACTCGGGGTGTCCCTACAACTGGAGGTCACGTGACCGGCACGTCCTGTTTGTTTCTTTTGTACAACCACATGGGAGTTTAATGCCCAGGAGGAGGATCTCAGCCCAGAGCTCTACCAGTCCTGAGGGCTGTTGCGCTGACACCCACTCGGACCTGACAACATGAGGAGAACGGGTTGGGGAGGGCTACGAGGGTCTCTCCCTCGGGAACTGTATATCTGAGCAGAGTGTCCCAAACTCCTCTTGCTGGGAAAAGCAGTGCACCTGATTATACGGTTGCTGGTGGATTCTCTGAAACGTACCCCTTGCCAATCCTGGTCCTCCTAGGTCACGCTTGGTGTTGAGGGGACTGTTTTAAACTGCCAGCCTTGTTTGTGGGATGCCGTGCTGGCAACAGCGGACCTGGTCCAGCCAGCGCGAGAACAGAGCCGTTTCACTTTTTAAAATCTCCACCGGCCATTTTTCGTTTGGTGCAGACTTTTAGACAGTATGTGTGTGATAAAAGTCAGCCTGAATTACCATGGATTTACTTTTTTATTATGACCAAAAAAACTCTGACATTGAACTTGCCAGCGTCCACGTCCAGTGTACAGGTGCAGCGGCACGCCAGGGCTCTCCAACTGTGGCGCTTGCAAAGCTGACGCCATGCAGCATTTCCTCTCCCCGCGCCCACAGCCCTTCCTATCCACCTTTCAACTTTGTTTCGATGACTGATTACTTTGGACACTTCCTCTGGTATAATCACGCAGCCTTTCCCCCGTAACTGGCTGACCTCACCTGGGGGAGCTCCCCAAGGTTCACACTGTCGTTGTGACAAGGCTTCCTTCTTCTAAAAGGCTGAATGATATTCCGCTTTATGCACAGGCCACGTTTTGCTTTATCATTCGTCCACTCGTGGACAAAGGAGTTGCTTCTGCTCCTTGGTTACCATGAGCAGGGCTATAATTTCCAGTGCGAATATCTCGTGAAGATTCTGCTTTGAATTCTTTTCAGTGTGCACCTGGAATTGGAATTGCTGAGTCAGTGGTAATTCAGTTTTTGATTTTTTTGAGGAGCTCCGTGCACAGTTCCAGTCTCTCCACAGCCTTGTCGCACTTGTGATTTTCTGCTCTTCTGATGGTCGCCATCCCCGAGCGCGTGAGGACGTATCTCTCTGTGGTTTGATCCACGATTCTCTAGATGTTGAGCTTCTTTTCCTATTGGCCATGCTTCTTTGAAGAAATGTCTGTTTAAATCTTTTGCCCATTATTTAGGGCAAATCTTTTGCCCATTGTTTAGTCAGATTATTTGGGATTTTCTTGCTGTACTGTAGGAGTTCCTTGTATGTTTTGGACACTAAACCTCTCCTAGATACGTGGTTTGCAGATTATTTTTCCTGTTCTCTAGATTGTCCTTTCACCCTATTGTTTGTTTCCCTTGCTATGCAGACGTGACCTTTAAAGTGTGATGTAGTCCCTCATGTCTGCGTCTGCTTTTGCTGCCTGTGCTATGGGTGTCTGTGCTAGAAATCATGGCCAGGCGCAATGTTCTGAACTTTTCTCCTATGTTTCCTCCTAATTTTCTAGTTCTTGCTCTTAATACAGATGAAGATTAGACCTTAATCTAATTCCGGTCTTTAATCCACTTGGAGTAACTTGTAACTGGTGTAGGTGTGCTATGGATCCATTCTTTCGTATGTGAGTATCACACATTTGTTGAACAGACAATTCTTTTAGTTTGTCAGTCTTGTCAAAGGCCAGTTGATCACAAACAGAAGGGTTTATTTCAGAGCTTTCTGCCCCCTCGGTCTGTATGTCTGTCTTTATGCCAACACCATGTCACCGACAGACTGCTACGATATAGTATGTTTTGAAGTTGGGGAGTCTCCAACTTGGTTCCTTTCAGAGTCGTTCTGGCTATTGAGGGTTCCTTGAGATTCCGTTTCATGCCTTCCTCACTAAGTTTAATCACTTAAGTTCTTCCTTTTACTTGAACACTTGTTATCAAATCATAGCATTTAAAAGTAAAATGGAGGCATTATTCATGACAGTATTCAAAGTGTGGCCCCATAAAGGATGTTTTTCAGTGGCAGTATCTGTTTTGGGAGGCTCACGTGATTTTAATACACATTTTACTTCCTGCCATGTTTGGTTAAACTCCATCGGAACATTAAATTGGTTGAACTCATCTCAGAGTTGTGAAAGGTAGATTTATTCTTTTGCTTTTCTATTTTCAATCAAGATCAAGGAGTAATCTGTGGCAGGAATTTTCCTAAGTGTTTCTGAACATTCATCGTGGTCATTGCATCTGTTTTAGGATTACTCTAAACGGAAATACAAAGAGTGGAATGTTTGTGGTGTTAGTAACATTTGTAAATGTTATTCCCCAAAGTATGTTTTAAGTTTATGAAATTTTCTGATGAAAGTCAGAATCAGGTGATTTCCTAACATGCAGATGATACCTGGCGAGCTAGCCACACGGGGGAAGAGAACACACGTGTTTCCTCCCCAGGGAGAACAGGCGGCCTCCAGCGCTGGCCCCGGCCCCGGCCCCTCTCCTCCTCCAGCTCGCTGGCTCTGCACTGGATGGTTTTTTTAAATTTTATATCGTTAGACCAGTAACTTGGTTTGTGTGTTTTGTAAAACAAGGAAACAAAATACAGGGCTTTTCTTTTTTCCTACGAACACATGACCAGCACTAGAACTTCAGGACTGGCTCTCTGGTGGTCAGTCACAGGGTGACCATGCTTGGCAGTATCTAGGATTGCTATGTTAGACAATCTGGATTGAGCGTCTGCTCTTTGTTGGCCACGAGGCCTCACACACATGATATGCTCTATTTTGTCGAATCTTTACAAGCTGTAAGAATGAAGAAAACACTAGTCACTGAAGTCCCCTCAGCACCTGCATGCAGTGCATTGCAGCGGGACAAATGCAGAGACTAGAACTACTTTTAATACCTTAGCAAGTGATGGGTCTAGTCTTGGAAAAGACAGACACCGGATGCATATTACAGCCTTTCTACATGTGACTGGGATCCAGAAAACTAGAACCATTAACTATTAATATCATGTTTGCAAGCAGGTGGACAATACCTATTTGACCTCAGAAGACCTAATAAAAATCAACACACGACGGCTGAATGAAATCAAATATCCCACCTTCCTTTCACTTGTCCTCCTGAAACTACTCGAGCTAAAACTGAAATGGGTGAGAAATACAAGGGGATAATACATTAACTTTTATGAGCATTTCATGTCTGCCAGCCACTACACTAACTGCTTTCCGCAGAAGCCTTTAATTCTCTCAATAATCCTATGAAAGAGGTGCTTTTATGACCGGCCCTGTTTTATACTTGAAGAATCTGAGACCTCGGCCTCAAGAGGTTAGAGAAACGTACCGATGGTCAATGACTATTCAATGGCAAATAACTGTCGTGAGACGGAGGAACTGGGCATGTGAGACACATGGCCACACACAGGCACAAGTGTGTGTTTAATGAAAAACTACGGTGTGGGGCAGAGCCCCTTACTAGCTTATTTGGTAAAGATCGGAAGTGGTTATTGGACCATAAGAAAGACTGATGTCAGTTTTCCTTTTGTGTTTGTGTTAGTTTTTTTATAATATAATTGAACTAGAAAAGCATTCACTATGTCAATAGGTTGTACCTTCTTGGAAAAGAGAATTCCTGAGAAATAAATGAGGTATTCATTAAAATATAAATAACTCATAATGAATTGCAGTCTTCAATAATACTTTTCTAGCTCAACAAACTGTTTTTTAGGTTTTGTTTGTACAAAGAATAACCTTTTGGGTTTTTCTACTACAATAAATATATGTAGTTTCTGAAGTTCGCCTGTGGGCTTTTCTGAATGTTCCCACGGTATGTGGATGTACTGTGAGGGGGGTGTGTGTGTGGTATGGTGTGGGTGTGTGGTGTGTTCAGTGATTTTACCCAAATATACAAAGCAGCCCAACTGTGAAAATGGTAACACGTTTTAGTGTATGTAGTGAGTTGGATGCAAATACAAGTGCACTGCTCTGTGAAAGTCCTAGTCATTTTGAAATTCTGTTAATGGATTTGTAAGTGATTATGCCTTTTTAGTAGAAAAGCACGGAGCAACCTAACACCTGTCCTGATCTCACTTGCAGGCCCATCTCCCCGCTTGTTGGACGGAAGTGCTCTCGGGTCTCTGCGCTGTGGACATGTCTGGCACTGAGAGGCAGAGTCAAGGCGCCCAGGCGTGTCCTGCCTCTTGAGGAGTCCAGGAAAACGTCCTCCCGACGCCGGGATCCTATACAGCACATCGTGCCTGAGACCCTGCTCGGCAGGTGCGCCCCCACAGGCCCTACCCGGTGTTAGCCCTTCGCTGCTGTCCGGGGCATCAGGGATGGGGCCTGCTCAGCAAGCTGGCGTAGCGAGGATGAGCTTCGTCTTAGCCGCTTACCGGCTGGCGCTGGGCCTGCTCGTGACCTCGTTGACTGGGTCTTCCCTGCAGAACAGCGAGTGCCCACAGCTCTGCGTGTGTGAGATCAGGCCCTGGTTCACCCCGCAGTCGACATACAGAGAAGCCGCCACCGTGGACTGCAACGATCTCCGCTTGACGAGGATCCCCAGCAACCTCTCCAGCGACACCCAGGTGCTGCTCTTACAGAGCAACAACATCGCCAAGACCGTGGACGAGCTTCAGCAGCTCTTCAACCTGACCGAGCTAGACTTCTCCCAGAACAACTTTACAAACATTAAGGAGGTAGGGCTGGCCAACTTGACCCAGCTCACCACCCTGCATCTGGAGGAGAATCAGATCACGGAGATGACTGACCACTGTCTACAGGACCTTAGCAACCTGCAGGAACTCTACATCAACCATAACCAGATCAGCACTATCTCTGCAAACGCTTTCTCGGGCTTAAAAAACCTCCTAAGGCTCCACCTCAACTCCAACCGGTTGAAGGTTATTGACAGTCGCTGGTTTGACTCAACACCCAACCTGGAAATCCTCATGATTGGGGAGAACCCCGTGATCGGCATTCTGGACATGAACTTCAGGCCCCTCTCGAATCTGAGAAGCTTGGTTTTGGCGGGGATGTACCTCACGGACATTCCTGGAAATGCCTTGGTGGGCCTGGACAGCCTCGAGAGCCTGTCATTTTATGACAACAAATTGGTCAAAGTCCCTCAACTTGCCCTGCAAAAAGTTCCCAATTTGAAATTCTTGGACCTTAACAAAAACCCCATCCACAAAATCCAAGAAGGGGACTTCAAAAACATGCTCCGGTTAAAGGAACTGGGCATCAACAACATGGGGGAGCTGGTGTCCGTGGACCGCTATGCCCTGGACAACCTGCCCGAGCTCACCAAGCTGGAGGCCACCAACAACCCCAAGCTCTCCTACATCCACCGCGCGGCTTTTCGAAGCGTCCCTGCCCTGGAGAGCTTGATGTTGAACAACAACGCCTTGAACGCCGTCTACCAGAAGACGGTGGAGTCCCTCCCCAACCTGCGTGAGATCAGCATCCACAGCAACCCACTGCGCTGCGACTGTGTCATCCACTGGGTCAACTCCAACAAGACCAACATCCGCTTCATGGAGCCCCTGTCCATGCACTGCGCCACGCCGCCCGAGTACCGCGGGCACCCGGTCAGGGAGGTGCTGACCCAGGACTCGAGCGAGCAGTGCCTCCCCATGATCGCTCATGACACGTTCCCGAACCATCTGAACACGGAGATCGGCACCACTGTCTTCCTGGACTGCCGGGCCATGGCCGAGCCGGAACCTGACATCTACTGGGTCACGCCCCTGGGCAGGAAGATAACCGTGGACCTGCTTTCAGAGAAGTACAAGCTGAGTGGCGAAGGCACCTTGGAAATAACCAGCATCCAGATCGAAGACTCGGGGAGATACACCTGCGTCGCCCAGAATGTCGAAGGGGCGGACACGCGCGTGGTAACAGTGAAGGTCAACGGGACGCTTCTGGATGGCACCCAGGTGCTGAAGATCTACGTCAAGCAGACAGAATCTCACTCTATCCTGGTGTCCTGGAAGGTGAGTTCGAACGTCATGACGTCAAACTTGAAGTGGTCGTCGGCCACCATGAAGATCGACAATCCCCACATCACCTACACGGCCAGGGTCCCGGTGGACGTGCACGAGTACAACCTCACGCATCTGCAGCCTTCCACGGACTACGAAGTGTGTCTCACCGTGTCCAACATTCACCAGCAGACTCAGAAGTCCTGTGTGAACGTCACCACCAAAAACGCCGCCTTCGCCCTGGACGTGTCTGACCAGGAGACCAGCACGGCCCTGGCCGCGGTGATGGGGTCCATGTTCGCGGTCGTCAGCCTCGCCTCCATCGCTGTGTACACCGCCAAGAGGGTTAAGAGGAAAAACTACCACCATTCTTTAAAAAAGTATATGCAAAAGACCTCCTCGATCCCGCTGAATGAGCTGTACCCGCCCCTCATTAACCTCTGGGAGGGCGACAGCGAGAAGGACAAAGAGGGCCCCGCAGACCCCAAGCCCACACAGGTGGACACATCCAGAAGCTACTACATGTGGTGACCCAGTGGCTATTTCGCTTCTGGTAGTAAGGAGCACAAAGACGTTTTTGCTTTATTCTGCAAAAGTAACAAGGGGAAGACTTGCGTATTTTTGACTTTGCTGGTTTGTGGCAGAGCGGAGAGGACGGGTGGATATTTCAGATTTTTTTAGTATAGCGTATCGCAAGGACTCGACACGGCTGGCGGCGGCGCCTGCTCCGGCTGTGTTTGGTTTTTATTCTTATCATGATTATGATTATTATATTATTCTTATTCCTATTACTTTGTTTTAGTTGTTGTGCTAAACTCAATAATGCTGTTCTAACTACAATGCTCAATAAAATGATGACTGGCAGGCCGGGGCCCCTGTGCTTTCACCAGTAGCAAGAGCCCCCCCTTCTGAAGCCATCTGTGGGAGGCCCCGTGTCCCCGAAGAGCTGCGCGCAGTCCTGACGCCTGCGGGCTGGAGCGCGGAAGCTGAGGCCGGCCTTGTCACCTTCTGGAACACATTAGTTGGCTGTACTGTAACGTTGTATCAACTGAACTGAATGTTTACCTTCCAACAATACCTTTTTTGGTAATAGTTAAAGAGGCTTAGAACAAGCTAACAGGCAATAGAAATATGTATATCAGATTTTTTAATGTAACAAACTACACGTTAATTGTTACCTTATTCTTTTTATCTTTAGTAGACACTTTTAAAAGAAAAGACAATAATTTTTGTTGTGTTTGACTCACCAACGTGGTGTGTAATGAAGACGGAACTATAATAAATTAGTTTTGTTCTGATTTTTTTAGAACACTTGCAATAATGTATTGTTTCCAGTTCTTGCCAGTTGCAGGGGTGGCACTTTCCACCATGCGGAGAACCACCACCAAAATAAGTCAGCTACAGCATGTTGCTTTTAAAACCGGGCCTAAAAAGTTTTGATTCTTTTTCTAAGTGAAGAAATGCCTATTTCAATGAATGTAATTTCTATATTTTAAATATTACTGGCCAGAACATGAGGAGGGAGGCGTTCCTGTGCAGAATAAAGGTGTGCTGTAGCCCGTGAATTACACACGGGAAGAGACAGGCAGACGGTGCACGCTTCACATTCCTTTTCGGCAAGGGCTTGTGTTAAAATCCGAGCTGTTGCTATATCCCTACTCCCCGCCCCATCCACCACATCAGGCCGCCAGTGCTGAGTGACAGTACACGCACTTTCCTTCTTAACAGCCATCTACACGCCAGGGCCTCATTAGTTCACATACTCGTGTGGAAATATCTGCAGAGACATGAATGACTAATAGGAAACCCAACAACTTCTGTCCAGTTGGTATTTTTCACCCAGATAACACAGAGGCAGAGGAAGCGGCTCCGGGCAGTGGGTGAGCCTTGGAGCAGAGGAGCTGGGGAGGTGCACGGCGGCGCCACACAGCGGGAGGGGAGGAGAAGGGGCCCTTTCACGTGGGGTTGGAGAAAGCGAGAGGTATGGGAGGGCTGCTCCGGATGAGGTGGCACCTGCCGCTAGGCACGCACCATCTCAGCAGGGCGAGATCGACTGCCTGGGAGCAGCAGGCCGCACTGAGCGGCGTCAAAGCAGGGAGCAGGACGCGGCAGGTGAGGCAGCAGAAGGGGAAGGGCTGCTTTCTGCAGCCCCTTCACAAGTCACTGGGAGAGAAAAAAGATCATTCCCATTTCCAAAGGGTGGGGAGGGGGTCAGGGCGAAGCACGTGGTGCAGGAGGCGGCCGAGCGTCTGAGCTAGAGGCGCCCCCCACCCCGTGGCCTCCTGGCGGGCAAGGACGCCACGAGCCTTTGCTGCCGAGGCCCAGCAGCCACCCCTCCCTCAGGTGCGGAGCTGGTCTTTCACGGGTCTCGATGTCCTGATACCCCTGCTTCCCACACGCATTACCTTCGGTCCCGGCTCAGGCAGGACACAATCCACACATGGCACTGGGCACTGAATCAATGCTACAGGAGGCGACAGAGCTCAGAGGACAGCGCCCAGGTAGACAGTCGATGGGTTCTGACCTGTGCATGCAATTTCAAGACCACTCAGGCCCAGGGTGTAAGAACAATGGGGTTTATTTAACAAACAGAGGAAACAGTTTCCAAGGCCACAAGTGGCCGCCTGTCTCACACCAGATAGTGTCCAGGCTGTCCAGCAATCCCAAACAAAAGGTCGCTCATTCAAGATGGTGCTTTCCCGTCAGTGAGAGCCTGGAGCTCGTGGCACACCAGCAAGCAGGGGGCCAGGATCCAACTCACAGCTAGAGGTGCTCACAGGTGCAGCACCCACAGCAACAGTCTGAAGGCCAGGCTGTGTATGCCAGATGCTGGCCTGGATAGTAATAGAGACAACAGTCCCAGGAGGCCATGGCAGATGATCAGAAAAGGTGCACAGTGTTGGGCCCTTGTCAGTGCTGCACAGCACTGGCCAGTAGCACCGGTCACCACCAGTCACCAGGAACAGTGTCAGAGACACCAGCGTTAGCAGCTCTTTGTGAACTGGAATGAACCAACAGCACAACAGTCTTCGAGACACCAGCCAAGGCCCATGGTGCTCCTTTCAGGTGGGGTCAGAAGCTTGGCTCGAGACAGGTGCCATGGCCAGGTCTCTGCAAATGTCTCCAGCTTCTTTTTCTTCAAGGTCAGCTGCTGGATGCTTCTTCAGAATTGGCCGCTAATCCGTCCTTCCTTCTTCAGAGGCCAGGGACAGAACACTCTAAGCAGTCTCCTGCCCTACCCTATATGCTCGTTCAGGGACCCCACCCTACAGCCTCATTGGACCATTTCCAATCCTAAGGAACTGACTGGACCACTTAGCACCAATCAGCTTGTTTCCCACTTTCAATCCAAATAATTAACTAATGAGCTGGGACTAAACCTTCTTGGTTCATTTAGCTCTCACCCAACTGGTCCATTCTATGATCCAGATACCAAATATAAAAGGGAAAACTTGGTGCCTGCACAGAACCATCCTGCCCTGACCTCAGAGCAGGCTTGCAGGCTGGCGCTGGTCTCTGCACCCAGTGCCCCTTCAGCAGAGCTGGGTGGGGAATGTAAGGGGAGGGACCTGCAGCAGCACTGTGTCATGGGTTCCAGCTGCTGCAGAGTGGGCCCCACTGGTAGCCGACCATGTTGGCCCTGGTCTCCACAGACCTCTCTACTGCCTATGCCTCCTGGGAACCACAGCACTGGAGCTGGCCCAGTGGGTCCTATGTTCTTCCCTGCAAGCCCTGAGCCAGGGGCCTTGGGGCTTGCTGTTGCCTCCTCTGCTGGAGCTTGCTCCGGCACAGGGCAACCTTACCACTTCAGCCCCAGGGTGCTGCATATCCTGGGGCGACAAGGCAGCAGAACCACCGCCCCCCACCATCACTGCTGCCAGCAGTCTGAGCCCCCATGGGGCCATTGGTGGCAGGTGGTTAAATACCTGCCAGCCACTGCCGACTGCTACCCATAAGCACTGTGATTCTGGAGACGGGCACTAGGGCCCTGACATGGGGGTGGGGAGGGAGAGCTGGTGTTCAAACCATCTAGTGCCCGGGCAGCCATCAAGCCTGGCCCACTGGGGTGGCCATAGCACCGCAGGACGGCCTGGGTGCTGTCTGGAGGCAGCATTTCTGGTGGCCAGCAGGAAACCAGCTGCTGTCGCTGGAGCCTTACGGGCTCCAGGCTCAAACCTGGCTTGCCTCGGGGCGGGGCTGCCGGCAGGCTGCATGCTCAGAGATGAGGGCCTCTCCTCACCGCTGGAGCCTTTAGAAAGCCATGAGCTGCAGGAATCCAGGCTCAGTGTGGCAAGTACTCAGGGCAAAACAGGGGCTCTCCAGCCAGGGGTTTAGATTACCCACAGAATCCCACAGCTCTCCTGGTGACCCCGTCAGCCTGCAGGAGGATGGCCCACAGCAGGGGAGCATGGCTGACCCTTGGAAGCCATGATGTGAGCCTGGCACATCACCGCCTCCAATCATTTCTCGCTTCTGAGCCTTCTGCAAGCCCTGGAGAGTCAAGTGGTTTTGTCAGCAACTCTTTCCCTGGCTGGCTAGAGGGAGACATCCCTTTTAGCTTTTCCTCCTCCAATAAAATATTTGGGCTTATTTTTTCTGGTTTGTGCTAATTGAGTTGGTTTTCAGTTGACAGAAAGCAAAACAGCACCGTACCTTTTCCCCTAGCTATGTATTTCCATTAATTTAATGCGGTGAGTTAGACAGCCAGTGAAAGTGGACCTCCGACGAGGTGCTGACTGATCTGGAGGTTCTATGCCGCCCCAGAGAAGTGAGTATTAAAAGCCACTTTCTAATTTCATATTTTCCCTTTTGCTTCCTGCTGTCCGCAGGGCTCATAATGTATCTCCAACATGACTTCACAAGATTATTTTGGGGGCAGATTCTTAAAACTGGCATTTCTCTACTTTGCTCATTTAATTAATGACAAATTCAACTGATGCCGTGAATATATAAACAAATGCGGTGTCTGGGTGTCCATTGCTCTAATTTGGCCGCGTCGTGGGCAAAAAGGAACCATGCCCTGCTTCGCAAGCGGCCACCCCGGGCCCACTGCTCCCTCGCACCTGCTTCCTCGACCATCGGCTCACGCGCCGAGGGCCGCCCAGCCCGCGCCTGGCGCCGCTTCCTGCCCGCCTCTCTAGTCACCTCCCGAGGCAATGTCTTTTCTTCATTCCTGCCTTCACTGCTGGAAAATACTCGTCTATGCCTAATGCTTTGCTGTAAAACCATCCGCTCTGCCTTTCCATGGAGAAGGAGAATCTAGCTACTGCTGACGCATTCTGCGTACCCCCGGGAACGCCATCGTCACCTCGATTCTTTCACGCTCAGCCTGTCGCAGACGGACATGTCTGTGATCATTCACAAGGAGTAGCTGGAGGGAAACGCTGCTTCAAAGATGAGTTTTAGAATCACCATCCAGAGCTTGGGGCTGATTTTGGCGCCGATCCTCTGCAGGGCTGGGTCTGATCTGAGTGGGCGCCATCACTCTGCTTTCCCTCCACCACCCCACCATCGCTCCTTTCTACCCCAAGCCTCGAGTTTAGGGTCCACGGCAGACCCCAGATGGCAAGGAAGTGCATCCCTCGGCTTGCTGGCTCAGCATGCCCAGCACTGGGCAGCAGCCATAGGGGTGCCACGAGTGGGAGCTCTCCAGGGACACGCTGCCACTGGGCTGTAGTGGGTCTCGGTGCTATGCTGAACTGCAGGTCCCGAGAAAGAGGGGTTCCTGGAATCCTGGAAACAGTCCAGGCAAGTGGGGTGCCACCTGCTGACACTGCCCAGCCCCGCCCCTGTGAAGGTCCTGGTCCTCCAGCCCCTTCCCCTCCACCCAAGCACCTTCTGACGTGTGGGGAGGGGGCACCTTTGGCAGGGCAGGTGCCAGCTTCATTCCGAAGAGTAGAAATTCGTGGTAGTAAGGAATGGTGGAAGTTTCTTTCCCCCAATTTTGATCCCAACACTGGTGGACATAACACTGAAGGTCTTCATATCAGAGGGAGGTTTGCCCAAGCTTCTTTTCAGATACTCTCAACCCTGTCTCGAGTTATTGGTCTCTCTCCAGAGAAAGACTCAAATAAGCATCCTGCAGGTGTCTCCATTGCAGCCCGCTGCCCGGGCAGACTGCGGAAGTCACAGCGGCTTCCCATTAGGTCCGCAAATTGGGACCAGCAGTTCTACAGAAAGTGGCAAACAGCAGACAATCTGAAAGTCGACGGTGGTTTGCTGGATGGGTGAAGCCACACACGGTTCGACTTTGGGGTGCATGATAACAGCTGACCACCACAGAATCATCCTCGCAGTTAAGATGTTTTATCTGGTGATAGATCTGGGGCTGCTGCAGCGAGCAAGCTGCTGTTTGGCTGAGTTGGGGAACACACTGCATTTCTTCTATTTTTTCCTTCTCCACCGAGCCTGGGAAGCTCTGCCTTAGTCACCCAGTCTTGTGGGAACCCACCGCCCACACATACACTTGATGGAGCTGCTGGGGTGGCTGGGTCTGTGTCTGCCCCTCCAGGCGCTAGAGCTAGGCATGTGGCGGCTGGGGTGGCCGTGGTGGCCACAGACATGCCCTGCAGTGCAGTGGGGGGCACCTCCCCTCCCCTCAGCCCTGGAAGCCTTATCCAATGCAGC